GAGAGAGAGATAGTGAGAGAACGAAGTTCTTGGACGTGGTGATTCTTGTATCTGCGGCATGCCTAATTACTCATAGCCATCAGACAGTGAGCCACTAGTGGACCATGTTTCACAGTGGATCACACGTGGCTCGCGGTTAGTAATGGGCCACTATCCATGCAGACACTGAAGAGCCTAACATGGGTGCATATAGGCTGCTACGGCAACTCAACTTACTGTTGTATGTGCCACTCGCTGGGTCCAGCACGGCGCAGAAGGATGCGTGTCACCTAGTTATCACCCCAAGGGTTCTTGGTTTGAGCTTGCACTGTCAGCAAGCTATCGTCTGCCTGAACCACTTGCCGGAAGTCACTCTTTGTAGCTCAGGCTTCTTAGGGCCTCGCTCAACCACTCACCACATGCGCAAAAAACAAAAATTATGGTGGCGTATCTTTCCATATTCTAGTGGCAGATTCATTCGCATTTTGCACATTTGGTGATTGGTGGAGTGAGGCCCTTAGAAAGCTTGCCAGCATAAGGATCTGTTTTTTATTTACTTATTTATTTATTTATTTATTTATTTATTTAGAGAGAGAGAGAGAGAGAGAGAGAGAGAGAGAGAGAGAGAGAGAAAGAGAATCCAGGGGGGTTCTGCCCTCTGGTACCAGATGAAGGACATATGTGAGCCTGTTGGTTTCCCAAATTCCCATGGTAGAGATCCATGCATCTGGATGGCTGATAGGCAATCAATGGGCTAGCAGGGGAGCATTGCTTAGCTGCTGGCCACCACGTTCATATTTGAATTAATATGATATGTTATGTTATCCTTCTTTCTCTTGAACAACTCTGAGATTTCGATCCTTGGCGTTCTTTGTACGGGGAGTTGGCAGGGAGAAGCTACCGTCTTCCCCCAAATAGAACGTACAGTCATTATTTGCCGAATCGAGACTGAAAGTTGCCCCAAATACAGGCATAATTACCATAGGTTCTGTCGTCTTGCAAGTCATCAGATTCTATAAAATAAGATATTTGAAGAGATGGAGTAGGAGGAGGAGAAGAGAAGAGGACGAGGAGAACGGTGAAGGAGGCATAGGGGAGAGGAGGAGAAGATGGAGATTGAAGCATGCGGGAAGAGGAGCAGCAGCTGTAGGGTGGAGAAAATGCACAGGAGGAGGAGGTTGAGGGGGAAAGAAACAGAGGAGAAGGGGATGAGTTAAAGAGGACGAGGAGTATGCTGGCGAATGCATACAAGGGGGAGGACGAGGAGAATCAGAATGGAGTAAAGAAGCAGCCAACTGGCAATAAACTACCCAGTCAGAGGGGGAGGAAAAGAGGAAATGGCAAAAAAAAGCCCTGTGTAATGACCCGTCCAGTTGCAGTTCAAGATTTCTGGATTTTCTGAGAGACTTCTGTCTGCTGGTCTGATATGCTGAGATTTCTAAGTTTGAGTGTCTTGGTGTTCTCTGTGTCCGTGATTGTATCTCCTCCTCCTCCTCCTCCTCCTCCTCCTCCTCCTCCTCCTCCTTCTTCTTCTTCTTCTTCTTCTTCTTCTTCTTCTTCTTCTTCTTCTTCTTCTTCTTCGTTTCTCTGTCCTCCACCGCCTCGTTTCGATCTTTCTGCTTTTTTTTCTCCTTTCTTCTCCTCTTGCCTTCCGCTTCTTATTCTTCTTCTTTCTCCTCCTCCTCCTCCTCCTCCTCCCTCACCATCCTCCTCCTGCTCTTCCCCTTCTTCTTTGTCTTCTTTTTATTGGTCTTGGTTTCTTTGCCCTCCTCCTCCTCATTTCTTTCTTTCTTCTTTTTCTCCTCCTCCATTTCTATTCTTCCGCCACCGGACCATCTGCTTCGAGCTGGTGCCGCTGTTGTTGATCACAGGGGAAAGAATAAACGGAAGTGTCGAATTTTGATTTCTTCACTGAAAAAGATTGGTGTAGCATCCCTGTTCCCACGACAGTAATACGCCTATTCCTTTCAGGTAACTTTGCTACCCATCCATTGATAAGAAAAGCTGATGTCAGCTTTTGGATAGGATAGTGCTGCAACGAACCAGCTGAACGAGCGGGCAAGTGAGTTCGGAGATGGCTGCGATCGATGACAAATGGACTTCCGTAGCGATTTCTGCGGAAGCGTGTTCGAGAAGTATCATGTTCTCCCAGTCCAAGTGGCTTCCTTGGAAGTCAATACGGAATCTATCCAGCCTGAGGCGGTGTTTTTCCATAATTTACGTGACTTTTTGCTGCTACCCGGGAACGCCGATCTCCTGAGGACTGATCGTGACAGTTTCATCAAAGGATTTGCTGAGTTTCGCAGGACTGGTGCAGATATTTCAGACTGCCGCGAGGCTGCTGAGATGGCTAGCCAGTTCTGGATGACAACAGCATGTCAGGATATCCGTGACGAGGGAGATGAGATTGCTCCTATGCAGGAAAAGCTGATAGAGTTTGCACTCTCTCATTCGAATTGGTTTTTGGCGAAAATGTTCCAGCGGTCTGGAGCTGATATCACCAATGAGAGTGATTCGGCTCTTGCTTTGAAAATGTTTGACTTCCTCAGGAACGAAACTATTTTTAGCCAAAGCATCGATGAGTTATGCGCTTTGACACATCTCATTGATTTTGATCTGCTGGGAGCCGATGATCAGCGCTTCCCACTGCGAATGCTGATGTGGGATGACTATCGTCATTGGAATAAGGAAGTCGGCTGGTTCGCAGAGATCCGAGATCGTGAGACAGACCTCCCTATCGCCAAAGCAGATGGTTGGGGCCCTCCTTTTGATGGGACGAAACTCGAGATCTTGGCCGAGGAAGCTGTTGAACAACGTTATAAGCCACACAGCAATGTTCCTACGGTGCAAAGAGCATCGGGATGTTTTTCGGACTTTGATTTCGACGGAGAACGGACAGTGCTTTTTTGTAACAAAGACTTTTTTGACTTCGATAGTACCAATGTCACCGACATCTTCACAGTCTTAGGAAATGGCAAAATGCTGGCCATATGGGAGCTTCGTAAAGCTTATTTCGTGAGGTACGAGCGCGACCACATTTCCTTCTCTGGCCGATCTGAGTTTGAGCGGTTAATTCCAGTTGCTGCTTCACTGTGTTATCTCCATAATCCAGAGAGACGGGGCGGTGACTTCGACTCTGTTGTCAGGCTGTTTGGGCTTCGCACATCGTCGCTGGAACAGGCACGACATCGAGATGGAGATAGACATGGACGAAACCGGAGACGTTTCGAGAGCATCTTCAAAGGAACATGCTGGGAGCAATTGCCTGAAGAGCTGATCGGGTCGATAGTGGAGTTTCTGCCAAATCCCCAACGACACAGGCTCAGGCCTTCTAAGCCCCAGGCGTGACACAAAGGATGCTTCCCACCAGTAACCAGTACTCAATTGAATGTGGAAAGACATTATGTGGTCATAGGGGCTACCTGTACATGTATGTCTGTCTATACACAGCGCCAAAATGTGCACGGCTTTTGTGTACATGTTTTTTTGCTTTTTTGTTTTGTTTTTATCCTTCTGCAGGTTCACCTCTGGAAACCTTGTTACGAGTTCTCCTTCCTCTAAATGATGAGGTTCAATGAACTTCTCATAACACCCTCAGCGACGAACTGCCGGGATCACAGCGATCCAGACACGTCAGCAGAACATTCATGTGGTAGCAGTGAGGGGCAGTGCATAATCAGCGTGATCAGATGACTCACGCTCTCTAGGCATCTCTTCTTTCTTCTTGGAAGGATCTCATTTCTCAGTCAAGTCCCATGTTCGCAGCCCGTCAGGGTTGCGTTTTCCCCCCCGAGACATTTCAACGTTCAACGTCAATCAAAATTTCAACGTCGGTGGTCGTCGGGAGGGTGGGCATTTTGAGTTTTTGGAGCCTTGCAAGGGCCAGGACCGCGTAGGACCGGTAGCTGCGCAGAGGAGACTGAGGAGGCCGTGGTCCTTGAGCCTTTTTCGAAATTGAAACGGTGCGGGTGCACTTTTCTCGAATACCACAGTTTCCTCGAATAGAAAATGTACAGGTTGTATTTGAATACAACCTGTACCCTTTCTATTCGGATTTCGAAAAGAAAAAACTCTTGTATTCCGATAAAATTACTTCTTCTTTTTGTTGGAGGTCAGCGCTTGCCCTCTTGCTCCCCGCCACTGACATGTTGCAT